GGAGTCTTGCTCTGTCTCCCAGGCTGGAGTGCAGTGGCGTGACCTCAGCTCACTGCAAGCTCCGCCTCCCGGGTTCACGCCATTCTCCTGCCTCAGTCTCCCGGGTAGATGGGACTACAGGTGCCTGCCACCACGCCCGGCTGATTTTTAAAAATATTTTTAGTAGAGACGGGGTTTCACCTGTGTAGCCAGGATGGTCTCGATCTCCTGACCTCGTGATCCACCCGCCTTGGCCTCCCAAAGTGCCTGGATTACAGCGTGAGCCACCGCGCCTGGCCTCACGATTTTGGTTTCTTAATCTGCATTTTTGCTCATGGGCTGAGGAGACATCAGTGTCCCCAAGCGCTGCCCGTGTGTCCCCAGGGCCCTCAGCGATGGCAAGGTGAGCCCAGGCCTCCGTGCACCAGGGTGGCTGCCAGGTGAGCCGGTCCCATGGGGCCAGGCCTCCTCAGACCACTATGCTCCTCTGGGGCTCAAAGCGGAGATGTTGGGTGAAAGTCTCAGAGGTGCTGTGGGTCTGCAGCCTGGGTAGTGAGGCATCTTGGAGTCAGAGTGGCCTGTGCCCAGTGCGTGCCCATGGATGTGCCCCAGAGGAGGTTTGCACGCTGTGGTGTGGGGTCTGCAGACCGTCTGCCTGGCCTGAGGTGGGAGGGTCGAAGCTCTTGGGTCTCTGCGAACGAGAGTCGGATGTGTGAAGACGTATGTTTGCGCTCACTGCCACTCACTGTCACGCCTGGGGTGAGGCACACACGGGCTCTTCCTGTCTCTTGCCTTTGCAGAGACTCCATCCCAAAGATGCCAGGCGTGCTGTGCATTTGAGGTCTGGAGTCCCTTGTCATTCTAGAATTTTCTGTTTCCTCTTGGTGTCCCCTCTCCACCCTCCCTTCTGGCCCTGACGCCCCTGACGCCCCTGGGGCCCTGTTGCCTGTGGTCACAGGGCTTCCCTGGGTGGCTGTCCGCCCAGAGTGGGATGACGGTGGTGACTGCGGGCACCTGACTCCCTCCCCTTCCTTCTGCTGTTCTTCCCAGGAGATGTTCTTTTCCAGATGGCTGAAGTCCACAGGCAGATCCAGAATCAGCTGGAAGAAATGGTGAGTCCCACCCCCAGCGTGGCCCTGCGAGGAGGGGCAGGTGCAGTGGGAGAGCTGGTGCCGGAACAGTCCGAGCTGTCCAGCCACACTCAGAGGCAGGGAGGGACCCTGGCTCAGGACACAAGTCATACTCCAAGGAGGACGTCAGAGAAAAGGGCACGGGCCAGACCGGGGCCGCATGCTTCGCTGCCACCACAGCCGGCCACGACACGCTGGGCTCCAGGGAGAGTCCTGGTCGCAGCCCCAGCCAGACCCCACTCCTGCGGCTCACAGGCAGCAAGGCAGGCTTCCCCGGCCTCTCCGACTATAGGCAGAGGCAGACCCCAGACAACCAGAGCACGTTGCTGGCGGCTGGTTTGTGGCATCCTGTCTAAAGCCAGGGGTCTGACCCTGGTTTCAGTTGGGGTTCATGGACCCTGCGACCTCTCGGCCCGTGTCGCAGTGATCCCCAGCATGGGACAGCAGGGGAAGCAGGGGACAGCTGTTTCTGTTGTCCTTGTGAGAAATGGAGCCCTTGTGGCTGTCGGAGGCGAGATTATCCCACGTTCCAGACTCCTGTTCAGCACTTGCTCCTGCAGCCCCCTGGCTCCATAGGACGCACCTGGCCATGCAGAGCCACGGCCCGTCAGTCAGGGGGAGGGGCTCCCGGAGACACCCGGAGTCTCGTGACCGTCCGCCCTAGCCCTGCCCCGCCTCCTGTTCTGGGTCCATGTGTTGGAGCTGACGGCTGATGTTTTCTCTCCATGTCCAGCTGAAGTCTTTTCACAACGAGCTGCTCACGCAGCTGGAGCAGAAGGTGGAGCTGGACTCCAGGTACCTGAGTGTAAGTGCACCCTGGCCGTGCTTGCTGGGGCCCTGTGCCTGGGCTCCAGCTCTCCTGAATGCCTGTCACTCCCTCCCTCGGCCTGAAGGCTTCCCACTTCCCCTGAGCTCCCTGTCCGCGTGGGCCCCAGCTCTGACTTCATTGTCCATTTGGGACCGAGTGCCCCTGGTGTGCCCCAAATGCAACCTGTGGGTGAACCCATTGCCTCTGATGCCCCATGTGCCCAGTTCATGCCTCGGCTTTGACCACTTGCGGTGAAGCTGGTGCCTGACTCTGCTGCCCGGGAATGCAGGAGCTCCTTCTCTGGCCTCTGCAGTTCCCTGGGCTCTCGGCCCGTCCTGCCCCACTGCCACTCCTGTCGGCTGGCAAGAAGGCTTGGGCCTGAGGCGCTGCTCGAGGGTTTGAGAGTCATCCCTGGCTCTCTGTGGTGGGCGGGAAGGGTGGGCCTTGGCCAGTTTTTCCAAGTCTGATTTTCATCTTCGGGGACCAGAGAGCTGCCATGGGGTGGGGTGGGGTCGGGCTGAGGGCTCAGTTGCGCTCTCCACAGCTCTGATTTGCCGCTGAGCATGCGCAGCCAGAGAGCAGGCCAGGAAGGGAGCGTCAGGGCTGCCAAGGGGACCCTGCTGCGTTGGGCTCATGGGCCTTGGTTTTATTGCCGGGGGGACCCTGCTGCGTTGGGCTCATGGGCCTTGGTTTTATTGCCGGGGG